AAGTTATAGTCAACGGAGACGTCTGCCCAATCACTTTACGCCAACCAATAGAAACCCAGCACGTATGATGGTATGGCACCCATGTCATCTCATCCATGCCCGTGAGTCCGTGACACCATCATCCACCATCATCCTTCAAAACCTCGAAAGGCCAGATGGGGTCCAAGGCCAATAAAAAAAGGCCATACATGTCAGGCGGGACCCACATGGATCACGAGCCAAGTTGGGGAAGAGGAGAGATGGCAAGAAGATATATTGCTGGCACAGCATTGCGCCACGTCGCTTGGGCCTGATTTAACTAGAGTTTTTGTTTTTTATTTAATTTTTAATTTTAAAGATCTGATGACTCGGTTGTGTTTGTATATATCTAGAGCTGGGCGCTGATTGGCTGGACAAAATATCATAGGGCGATGCTCAGCCACTACCGCGTCTCCCACGAGATATTTATGTGCTGACCGTCAAACGCCTGCCCGCTCTCTTTCTGCCCACTCATCTCTCCACGCGTCGCTTCCTATTGGAAAATGCTTTTTCGGTCACAGCTGCCGGGTTCTCCTTGAGTCTTCAAAATCTATTCTTTTCTTATATAATTAAATTTGTATATGATTTTTAACATCAGAAATTAATATTTTACAGTTCAATTGTTAATAAAAACTACATAAAACCCAACATAAAAAATTACTATTTACGTGTTTCCTTTTGAAATTTGTATGGAATCAATTATTAGTTTTCTTTGTCTAATAATATTTTCTTTTCTAAGCTCTCAGATCAATTCTGAATCGCGTTTTATCTATTTTCAAAACATGAAAAGTAAAAACCCTTCATGAAAATATACTATAATATAATTTTGAACAAGCCTACTATAATTTGATAGCATACTCTTTAAGTATCATATTTCTAACTACCCTCTTATTTTAAAAAGCAACTCAAAACAACTGGTGAGTGTGACGTGATCTTTTATTGTCAATCCATCCATATTACAACACATATATTATAGGGACGGAACCAAAGCCTCGGTAAGTTTTGAAGAAAAAATAGTAGTAAACCTATATCTATATGGCCCACTACAAGAATTCTGCTGCGTTTTGGTTTTTTCGTTTGCAAAATCTACTAACTTTTTTTTCCCGCAAAGTCTGCTGCCTTTTTTTCTTTACCTACTGCCTTTTGGTTTTTGTGAAATTATATGCTACCTTTTTTCGTGTGAAATTATCTACTGTCATTGGTAAAAGGGTTTTTTTATATATAAATATCCCTTCAAGTTTATTTGTATTCTCTTCCAAGAACGAAACAATATGTTAACCTAATTCTATTGTTCTTGTGTTTACAACTAATATATAAATGAAACTTAATTCTTTATATTTTTGCATTTTGCATTTGTGAAGCTTATTTGGTTGATGCCAAGAAACTTTAAGGGATTCAAATTGCAAAGGTAAGATTTATTTATAATCTAAAAAAAACAAACTATTAGATTTTAAACTAAAAATTTTAGCTAGTCCACCAACTGAAAAATTTATAGTCCTGCCCTTGAACGCCTATATTTCGTTTATTCAAAATGAAGAGGCGTTTTTCATGGCTATGATGTTGAAGCAAATATAGGGTTTATATTCACCTGATCGATGAGACAAAGCTTCTAACAAGAGGGATTAGGCTTCCGTAAGCAAGTCTGACTTAGGTTTCCATCCTATTTATTCTTAAGAATGGTGTTCAAAAGATTGCATCTAGATAAGATAACTATGTTTCTCTTTAGTTTTTCTTTAATAATTTCTCTATTTAAAAATAATAATAAAAGTAGCACTGAGATTTTTGTTTATTAAAAAATAAAGTAGCATTAAAAAATAATTGCGTGTTGAACCGAAAAATAATGTTCAAGTGGCGCACTCATTTTCTAATTTGGGCAAGTGGTTTGCAATTTGACTTTGAGAAGTCAATCAAAAGTATTTCTGATCTTATCTTTTCTCCCTCCCCACTACCAAACTTTATGCATTAAATTAAAAACTTCAATCCTCGTTCATTGGGTAAAGTTTTGAAGAGTAAACTTCAAATATTAGTCAAACAAGCATCTCTTTCAAGTGTTTGTTTGTTTGTTTTTTTTTTTTTCCAACAAAAATATAGAATCAATAGTTAAACTTGGTGAAGGGGGCGGCCTCGCAACCTGATCAATTCGCTTAATTCACGTATGATTCTTGTGATTTGCGTGAGAAGCACAAGTGCATAAAAAAAAAAAGTATTTACACGAAGTATTTTTTTCACTCTTGCTAAATAAGTTGAACATGAAATGATAGCTTTTTTTTTTTTCTTCACACTAATATATGAAACCAGTGAAACAATGAAAGGAGCACCGTCAATACAGAGGTTGGAACATTTAATTAACGTTATATTTTTTCCACTTAAATATAGCAAATTCAAATGTGTTTTCTTTTTAAAAAAACTAGAAGGATTATGCACTTGGTAATGTGATGGATTTAGATGAGATCCAAGGGTGTCCACCGCCGACAGTAGTGACTAATCCCTTTCGCCGCGGGAGTTCTCCAAAGGAGGTAAACAACTGGCCACGAAATGCGCTCCATTCCCATGGGTGGGGATCAAACCCCCAACCACATGATTAAGAAATGAGGTGAGCTACCATCACACCACATCTCATGATTTAATGTGATGGATTTAGAATACAAAGAAAGTACTTAAGATATGAGAAATGAGAATAAAAGTAAGAACAAATTCACATGACAAGCATTAAAGAATCAACCTTGAGGTCCCCTTGAACTGATATCGGTCGTAAGTACCTATAAATAAAATTTACAATTTACGGAGTCTAGACTTCTATGTATTTGGATGGTATAAACATGATTCTACTACAAGAAAATAGTCATTAGCGACAAATTGTTTTCGAGGACCCCCAATGCCCTAAAAAAATGTACATTTTTCAATAGAAAAACGTTAGTAAGAAATATGTCACCAAGATGCATTTTGTTTCCAACACACAAACCCTCGTAAAAAAAGTATCAATGGATCTCATAAATATACATTTATTTGGTTGGAAGACTTGGTGCCAACTATATTCAGTCGCGAATCCATCTAAGGGCGAGTGAAGGCTATTGTCCCTACTCACCCTACTTCCTTACCCATGAAGTCCCCATAATTCCATTTGAAGATGTGCTTGATCTTGTTGTAATGGGGGCAATGTGTTTGACAAAATTCCTCATAAAGAAGAGGGAGGGGCAAGGCAAAGAAGAAGAAGAAAGATGACATAGGGATGAGGGAGAGAGAGAGCCAGGGAAGAACACAGAAGAATAGAGAGATGAATGCGATGCAAAAGAAAAAGATATATTTGGGGTGGATTGATAGAGATGAATGAATCACATGTGTTAGGGTTCAGTTTTATATATTTTTTAGCTAGTATTGGAGGTGTTAAATATATTAGTTATGTCATTATATCACAAGGAGCATTGTTATACACTTGGTGTAGTCTTCACAAACTATCCTAGAGATTAGGGTTTCTGGATCCGCCACTAGCTATATTAACAACAAAAGGCCTGGTCATTGAAAATAGAATAGCTATTTACGAGGATTGTACATGCCGCAGTAGTTGACTATTTCCGAGGTAAAATATTCCCTCTTGATAATGCGTTTATATTGCCTAGGGTAATTAGATGGAGTCATAAGTGACTGTATAATTTTGAGAAAGTATTTTCTTTGTCAGGAGTATTTTTTTCATTACTGATTGCAATTAGTCAGTATTGGAAATAGTTGGTATATGCAAGGGCATAACTTTGGGAAATTAATCATCATGGACCAGATTTTACTTCCAAATAATTAAGTAGGATAATACTCTCGAAGCGATTGAATCATTGTCACATATATTATTGCACGCATTAGATGCCATAGAAATTTCATGAATAAAACCTAACTATATATATTATGAACTCATCCATTACTTACTTTTAATGATGTTTCAGTTCGATGACATAAAAAGTTTAAGATATTTATTACAGAACTACCCTCATTGTCAAAGACCTACTACAAATCTCACTTTATAGTTCTAACATGATGAGAGAAATTGAACTATAAAACTCCAAAGTTTTCTTCGTTTGGAAAAATAATTTAAAAGAGAATAAAGCCAATAAAGAATTGATGAAAATAATTTCAAAGGTTATATATTTTTCATTTTACATTTGCAAAGTCTAATTTTTTTGTTTCTAGATAAGATAAGGTATAATTACCTGTTTTTTTTTCTTTCATTTTTGTTAGCGTATTGCATGCGCCTACATCGTTCTTGTGGAATTTCTACTGCCCATCAAATTTAAAGCCAAAATTAGGTAACAATCCAGATGGCTTGTGCAAAACACAAACGCTGAAGATTATGCCAATTTCTCAAGTCCCACAACCAATTCATCAAAGGGCCCACAAAAACATCTTGTAGCATTTACCAATTTTTTATCCTTCATTTTCTCCCTCCCATTTGGGCCGAGAGAAATTTTCATACAACGGAGATAGCACTTTTGCTATTCTCGGTCAATAACACAATGACACATAGAATAAATTTTCCACATATCATGGTATTACCGGTTGGGAATAGCAAAACAGTACTATTCCCGTTACAAGTAAGTTTTTTTTCTTCGAACCGAAAATACATGAACAAATATGCTTTACAAGTACCACTGCAAGGTAGCAAACTGAAATTAACAATTTTAATTATATTTCTAGCTGCTGAGGACAATAAAGTAAAGTTGGGAGCCTCAGTGCTTGTCCTAGTTTTTCCTATGAGTTCTCTTTCCTCGTCATTGACAAGCTTTGACATATTTAAATTCCTTGAAAAGACATCCATGTACGTATGTATGCATGTCATGTGTGTATGATGGGCATACATGCATGAGGACATGTCACATGACGTGACATTGGGCCTCTTGTGTGAGAGGAAAATATCATTGCCACGTATGCACAAATCTATGAGAGCAAGCCTAAGGCCTTCTAAAGATCTCCTCTCTCTGTCTCTCCCCTTCTCTCTGTCTCTCTCTCTCTCTCTTCTCTAGTTCTGTACCAAAACTACAGCCTCTTAAAAATATTCCAACTAGAAAGATAAAAGGGAAAACAAAATAAGAACTGGTTTTACAGTGCCATTTTCTTATCATAAAAGGATCACAAACATCTCAAGGAAAAAGCTTTCAGAGAAGTTCAAGGTATTTTTGTTTCAGTTTTATTTTTTATTTTTTATGGGAAAGGTTTTTTGGGTTCTTATTAATAACAACTCTGGTCTGTTATTAGTTTGGTTTTTCTCATTTTTGTGATGTGATTTTGCATTCTTTTTATTTATTTTTATTTTTTATAAATAAGATGTGATTTTGAAGCCACCTATTTTCTTTGATTTGATTTTTATCATTCACGGACCAGCTTCAAGGAAGAAATCAGTTCAGTTCAATTCTTAGGTGCTAGCACATGGGTCTTCTTTGTTTCTTTCAACTTGTTTTTCCTAATTTTTATTTTCATGTTCATGTGAATAATGGCTTTTAAAGTTCTCTAATTTGTGTGTTTAATTCTCTGTTCTTTCATTTCTCCTGCATATTTCTAATTTCATATCTTCTACCTGCTTTCACAGCAATCGGATTGCAGTACAAATTTAAAGTTGTGAAGTTTTCTTCAGAGGCAGAGACTTGGAGTTGTGACTAAACAGAGGGTTGGGCTACAACTTTTTCATTATTTTCTGGGTCGCTCCAGCTTTATTGTTTAATTGTGGGAGATTGACGCAGTAATTTTATGCTGGGATGTTAAACTACAAAATTTTGATTCTTGATTGGTAGCGGGTAGAAGGGAAAGCTTGTGGACTGTCTTTGTGTGATATTTTTGTTGTGGTTGCAAAGTTTGTGGATTGGTGCTGGGTTGAAGGTTAGCTGGGAGATAAATTTTCCATGGCTGCTACATCTGAAAGATGGATTGATCGTCTGCAGTTCTCCTCATTGTTTGGGCCGCCCCCGCAAGATGCCCTGCGACGGAAGGTAAATCCGATTTTGATTCCTAATGTCGTGCTTAATTATATTATAACTTGACATGTATCTATATTCGTCACCTACCAGCTTAAGCTTTTGAAATATAATGGTCATCTACTAGGGCACTGGTTCCTAGAGGTCTTGGATTTGAAACCTCTGATCCTTTGTTATCGGTTATTTGTTTATTCCCTGTAGGATATTAAGATTTGGGGTAATATAACATATACACATGTCCATATTGAATGCTACTCTGCATTTTCTTCATAATACTTATCCAGTCCAGTTTCATTTACCCAAGAAAATACTTATCCAGTTTGGTTTAGTTTGATTTAGTGAGATGGGTGAATTTGAGTAAACAGATTTTTCTATCTGGTGTATATTAAGGATCTATTTTTGTTTTCATATAAGATTTAAACAGACTAATTCCTTATACATGGGATTTGCAGGGATGAATCTTTTAAATGAATTGGAGTTATACGCAAAATTTAACTCACTCTTTAAACCAAATCATATGAAATGCCATGGTAATTATCAAGCTTCCACTATCCAGTGTGCCAGTAGTTGATAATTTGGATAAAGTCCCATGTATTTCAATTTGAGGCCAGAGTCAGGAAAAGTAGTTTGCAAGGTCTCATATTTCCAGTTTGTTTAGATAGGTGACCTAAATCGGAGAGCAATGAAAGGCCCTCCACTCTCTACTCTCTTGTGACCTATTTATCTATTCATTTTAATGCACCTAAAGGGATAATCTATCAGTGTCCTTGCCCAGAAATAGTACCATTAAGAGTAGAGTAAGTATCTTTTATAACCCTTTGTTCATGATGTGATATCAGGAGGGTCTAAGCTAACCGGCCATGCAACCCCATCCTTTAAAAAAAAAAATTATTCTCTAGTAATAGATTCAAATAATTGAGGATCCAGCCCAAACTTGCCATGGAACCTCCTTTTTCTGTTGATCTCTCTTCTTGACTTTTTGTTTAGATAGGAGATTGTTCTCCTTTTCCTTTTCCCGGAAATATCTCAACATTATCATGAGTGCTGCAATACATTTATGTCTTTTAGAATAATAAATGTGAAATTTTTTCATGTTTACAACACTTTGAAACCTTTCTGAAGTAGTCGAACTTTATCAGTTTTAAGGATTCTCACTAATGTTAGAAGGTCTTAAACAAAAAATTAGTCCCAGAGCTTTAAGTAAACCTCCAAGAAATCTCATAAGGCTGCTGACCAAAGTTCACCCTTTAATTAGCAACGTTGTGCTCAGGTTGAAATTGCAGTGCTGCTGATTGTAGCACCGTGTAGTAGTATTTGAAGCAATTGATTCTTTTCTCTGTCAATGAGTTCATTTTAATAAATTAGAAGAAACAGCTCCTCCTCCTGAGATTCCAGGAATAGTTTTCTAAACCTAACATTTCTTACTATCAGAACATTGTAATCTACAAGTTAGTAGAAAGAGGGTAAAAACAGTGAGAATAGGATAGCACAATTAGTAGAAACTGCGAATATAACAAAACTTCCGTACTGCCATTGTTTTTCAACATCCTTTAAGTGAAGATTTCTCTGGAGGCAAGGGTATTAATAATGCATGATATGATTCATACTTCTCACTTACAATGATAACATATTTAGTCTACAACTATTACACAGTAGGAAAGTAATGAAGTCAACCCTAGGCATAAGCTAATTACAATAGATGAGCTCTAACTTATACATGTCAACATTAAGTACTTTCTATTTAAAAGAACTTTGGTGTATTGATAAAAGTTCATCTGGATTTTCAAGGTGTTCCTTTTGTGATAGTTGTTAGTGATTGAAAACGATCAATTTCTTTCTATGTCCAGAGATTTAATTTTGGTTGCTATTCTGCCTCTATCAATTTCCTACAAGAACTGAAAGACACGCTTCTGTTTTCTAATTTTCCCCTCCTGTAGGCTCAAGTTACTGCCTATGTGGACTACTTTGGTCAGTTTACATCAGAACAGTTTCCTGAGGACATTGCCGAGGTATGCTGTGTTTATATCATGAGCTTTGTCTTATCCTGCATGCTTGTGAAAAGTTTGTGAAATTCTTCTTGCTTGTTTTTTTTTCAATTGTCTATAACAGATGTTTGAACTAACATATTGCCTGATGACAGCTGATCCGTAACCGTTATCCATCGGAGGTGAAGCGTCTCTTTGATGATGTCCTGGGTATTCATACTTTACCCTTGTTAGTTATGACATGATTGATTAGACCTGATAGTTTCATATGATGTTTTCTCATTGCTGCATAATGACTGCTTTTTCTACTTGGACTTGTTCCAGCTATGTTTGTCCTTCATCACCCTGAGCATGGGCATGCTGTTATCCTTCCAATTATTTCATGTCTCATTGATGGTACGCTGGCATATGAAAGGATCAGTCCACCATTTGCTTCTTTCATATCGTTGGTCTGCCCAAGCAGTGAGGTGATGCCATAGCAGATTAATCTGGCCATTTAAAATCTGTTTTATTTTATGTTTTGTTTACACCTCACTTTCATTTCTCCAAGAAGTACATGTCTTCTTTTTCTTTAAAAACTATCCAAGTTTTTTTTATTTATAAAATTTAATGTTCTTTGTATGTATTTCAGAAGTATTTTTATTTATTTACTTATTTGTATCTTTCGACTTCTCACAGAATGAGTATTCTGAGCAGTGGGCTCTGGCATGTGGGGAGATTTTACGAATCTTAACTCATTACAATCGCCCCATATACAAGGTGGAGCAACAGAATAGTGAAACAGAAAGAAGCAGTAGTGGTAGCCATGCTACAACAAGTGACTCCGTTGATGGTGAATCCAGCCATATACCTTTGGTACAACAAGAGAGGAAACCTATAAGGCCTTTGTCTCCTTGGATTACTGATATATTGCTTGCTGCACCTCTAGGTATCAGAAGTGATTACTTCCGCTGGTGAGTGCACGTTTTTATTGAGGTTGTGTCGTTATTTTTGTTGAAAGTCGTAAGCATTATGTTGTTGATTTCAAGTCGTGTATATGTGCAAAGCGGCACACACTCCAATTACAAATTAAAAGAGTAAACAACAGTGGTTTGTTCTTATTTCTTGCCTATTAAGAGGCAGCACTCCATCAAAAAGTTTTTTTTTATAAATTTTATATTTTCAAATGACTGTTTTGACCAATGAAGACACGTCAACTGTTAAAAAGTCTTATTCCCCAATAATTTGGCAAGGAAAGGTTTAAATGGATCAGGTTTGGTGGTTGTTTTTCTTTGCATCCAATCGGCCTGCTTTTTTATTGAAAACACTAGTTCTTTTGCAATTCAACGTTTGAAACAATTTTCAAGGTGACGGGATGTTCTCATCCCTCCATGATAGTGAAATTTTTGTTATACAATAAATATCTCAAATGATGAATATATCCAAATTGATTTTTTAAATGAAAGGAAAAATGGGAGAAAAGGAAAGGGAAGTCTGTTTTAAAGAATATTATAAGGGTATACCTAGAGAAGATTAAGCTCTGAAAGAGGTTGGCGTTTTCCTTGTGGTCCACTTTTTACGTTTTTATGTTAGATAAGTTTTACATTAGTTCAACAGCATTTTCATATTACCGATTGTTCATAATTTTAAAAAGAAAATTTAAATGCAATCAAATGGTAGTTTGAAACTTTGTCACAAAATTGATGTAGGAAATCATTTCATCTTGTTTTTGCTTTTCTTATTCATTCTCATGTAATATAAAAAACCTTTGTATGCTTTAACAGGTGTAGTGGGGTTATGGGAAAATATGCTGCTGGAGAACTCAAGCCACCATCAACTGGTTAGTTAAATCTTCCTTCACCAGTATAGAATGTGATCTTGCTGCTGTAATTTTTTAATTGATTTCAATTTGTGCCTTTCATAATATGAAATTTCGTCTGGAAACATTAACATGTGGTATGGAATCCGACTGCATGCAGTTATGTATAACCACATTCATGTGACTTAGATATAATCTTGTGCTACATGACATGACTCAACAAACATATTCAATTGCTTTAAAATTATTACCTTCTAGCAAATTTGTAGGTTCAATTGTACACCTGATGTGAGAACCTTACCAGCTTGTGTATACTTTCGTAACTGTTAGTAATTTTTGCTGTTTTTGTTTCTTTGTCATTGTTGTTTTCTTTGATGTTTTCTGCCCTTCCTCGTCCCCGCCTCCATCACTATGACCACCAACTTATCTCATTGTTTGTTAGAGATGTTCTGACACGCTGAGGAAACCTATTTTTGTTTTTTTGGTTTTTTAAGTTCAAATATAAAGGAAAACAGCGTTAGAATTTCCTTACAAATTCTATTTAACATGAAAGATTCCCCTATGAATGACTTTCTTTTTCTTTTTCCATTTTCTCCTCACTCTTAGCTTCTTCTCGTGGATCTGGAAAACATCCCCAGCTCATGCCATCAACTCCAAGGTGGGCAGTTGCTAACGGTGCTGGAGTTATATTAAGTGTTTGTGATGAGGAAGTTGCTCGCTATGAGACTGCTACTTTGACGGCAGTCGCTGTCCCTGCACTCCTACTTCCTCCTCCAACAACAGCTTTGGATGAGCACCTAGTAGCGGGGTTACCTGCTCTTGAGCCATATGCACGCTTATTTCATAGGTAAATCTTGAATGTCCATCTCTCGAGCCACCAAAAAGGGGAAGGATCTGAATCATTCTGTGTACCAGCCTGAGTTTTGCTAATATTTGTTAATATGTTATTTCATGCAATAGGTATTATGCTATTGCTACTCCAAGTGCCACCCAAAGACTTCTTCTTGGCCTTCTAGAAGCACCACCATCATGGGCTCCTGATGCACTTGATGCAGCTGTACAGCTTGTGGAACTCCTTCGTGCTGCTGAAGATTATGCATCTGGCATAAGGGTAAGCTGGACGTATTTAATTATCTTCTGATGCTATCCTGGTGATATATATCAAACTTGACCGATGTCTTCATCTTTTTGGCATCTCTTGTATGGCCTGCTTAAAATAGATTGGTAAACGTGAAACTGTCATTGATCTATAGGAATATCTTTCAAAATGCTTTTCTCCTCTCAGTTATATCTAACCTCCACTAGCATTAGATAGAATAGTTGGTACTATTTTCTTTTTCTTATCGAAACAGATTTTTCAGTGGTCTTAGAGTAATTCCATCAAGCTATCTCCATTCCGATTTACATATAACATAGTCTTATATTTCTTACAACAATATTCTGAACATTGGTGATCATAGCCCATTTACATTTTAGACCATACTTCATCATGGTTTGGTTGCAACTTCTAAAATCGACTGATTTGTAATTTTTTAAGCTCTGATAAAGAAACAGCCATTTTGAAGCTTCATGACATCATAATATACCCAGAATTGCCCAACTTTCTGCAAAGTAATGATGTGAAAGGCATCCTTCCTGTTAACTGGTACATGCTGCATAAGCAGATATATCATATGCCCAGTTCCCTCGGTTTGGTGATAATAGGTTCATGGCATGGAAAATTGCACCTTTGCAGATTGTTACCCACTTGTTAATAGCTTAAGCTTTTTGGACGTGTCATTTTCCAACATCTTGTATTTTCAAATACTTCAAAAGACAGGTTGGTGTAGTTATGTAAATAGTGCAGTTGAATGCCATAGAGTAATCAACTTTTAATCTTTTAATTCATGTCATGGTGCATGGACAATCAATGGAATTATATCCAAGCTCTAGAACAACAGTACACTAATAACTGTAAGTTTCCATCATCCGGTAAGGTGACATGGAGGGACAGCTTATTTGTTACTCAGATGATCTTCTCTCCTCTCTCTCTTCCTCTTTTGGTGGAAATATATATTAATTTGTAGTAGCTCTTGAAACTGATGAATACAGAAATTTTGTTAATTACATTTTCTCTGTCATTCATGTAGCTTCCTAGGAACTGGATGCATCTGCATTTCCTGCGTGCAATTGGAACCGCAATGTCCATGAGAGCGGGCATAGCAGCTGATGCTGCGGCAGCTTTACTTTTCCGAATACTCTCACAGCCTGCATTGCTTTTCCCTCCACTAAGACAAGTTGATGGAGTTGAAGTTCAGCATGAGCCTTTGGGTGGTTACATCTCAAGCTACAAGAAGCAGGTACGTTTTAATAACTTTTAATTTTCAGGGTTTTATGCTTTCCACTGCCAAAACGCACTTTGATCTAGTTTGTTTTGGCCGCTCTTGTTTTGATCTGAAGTTTTGTTTTGCTCTGAAAAGAATTAAGTATTAAATGAACCTAAATACTACCTCAAATTCACTATTAACCAGATTGAAGTTCCTGAGGCTGAAGCAACAATTGAAGCTACTGCCCAAGGGATTGCTTCTATGCTCTGTGCCCATGGGCCTGAGGTTGAATGGCGAATTTGTACCATATGGGAAGCTGCGTATGGCCTCATTCCTTTAAGTTCCTCTGCAGTTGACCTTCCTGAGATCATTGTCGCCACTCCATTACAACCTCCAATATTATCATGGAATCTGTATATACCCCTCCTTAAGGTCTTGGAATATCTACCTCGTGGAAGTCCGTCTGAGGCATGCCTTATGAAGATATTTGTTGCCACTGTTGAAGCGATTCTTCAGAGAACATTTCCGCCTGAGTCATCAAGAGAGCAAAACAGGAAAACAAGGTACCTTTTTGGCATAGGTTCGACCTCAAAAAACCTGGCTGTGGCAGAGCTTCGTACAATGGTTCATTCACTATTCTTGGAATCATGTGCCTCGGTAGAGCTTGCTTCACGCCTACTGTTTGTTGTGCTAACTGTATGCGTCAGTCATGAAGCTCAGTCCAATGGAAGCAAGAAAGCAAGAGTTGAAGAAAGCTACCCAGCTGATGAGAGCGTTGAAGAATCACAAAAGATGTCAGATAAGCAGAGAAACAGAACTAAAAAGACAAAAAAACAGGGGCCTGTAGCAGCATTTGATTCTTATGTTCTGGCTGCTGTTTGTGCTCTTGCATGTGAGCTTCAGTTGTTCCCTTTGATTTCGAAGGGGATTAATCATGCTCACTCTAAAGATGCAAAAAATGTGGCAAAGCCTGCCAAAGAAAATGTATGTACTAATGAGTTTCGGAGTAGTGTTGACTCAGCAGTTTGTCACACACGCAGAATATTAGCCATTTTGGAGGCACTTTTCTTGCTGAAGCCATCTTCCATTGGCACTTCGTGGAGTTACAGTTCAAATGAGATAATTGCAGCAGCCATGGTTGCAGCTCATGTTTCTGAATTATTTAGATGGTCAAAAGCTTGCATGCATGCACTCTCTGTCTTGATGCGATGTAAGTGGGACAGTGAAATTTGCTCCAGAGCCTCATCATTATACAACCTCATTGATTTCCACAGTAAGGCTGTTGCATCTATCGTTAACAAGGCTGAACCATTGGAAGCACACTTGATGCAAGTTCCAATTTGGAGGGATTCCTTTGGGTGTTTTGAAGGCAGAAAACTAAGTCAAGGTGGAAACAGTAGATGCTTAAATGTAGGGCAGCCATCTGCCTTGCAGTGTGAGGATTCAGCACATTCAGAAACTAAACACAAATCTGAGAGTGCATCACATTCATTTGAGGGGTCGGGAAATACCTCCGGTAAAGGTGTAGCAAATTTCCCATTAGATGCTTCAGATTTGGCCAACTTTCTTACTATGGACAGGCATATCGGATTTAATTGCAGTGCACAGGTTCTTCTAAGATCAGTACTCACAGAAAAACAAGAGCTATGTTTCTCAGTTGTCTCACTGTTGTGGCACAAGTTAATTGCAGCTCCTGAAACCCAGCCTTCTGCGGAAAGCACTTCTGCTCAACAAGGATGGCGGCAGGTAATCTTATATTTCTTGCGTCTCTTTGCATGACCGTCATCATCATCATCTCCAATATTATTAGTAGGTTTTGTGTCTATATGCTGTTCTGAATCAGTAATTCATCAGATACATTTGTGCTATATTTCATTTGAGTTATTGTTTGCCATTTTTCCATTGAAAATGTATAATGTTTGACATGTAATTTTTAACCATATTATTTGCTATGTTAGGTCGTTGATGCATTATGCAATGTTGTGTCAGCAACACCAGCAAAAGCAGCCACTGCAGTGGTTCTTCAGGTCTAAATTTTGTCTCACTTTTTACATTGCCACATTATAACTTTTGCTTTGGCTACTGACTTGAACACCACATGATTTTGTTTCAGTTTACACCATTTCCTGTTTCATCGTAACAAGTAGAAAAACATGGTTTTGTTAATTCTTTTCATCACTTGATTTTGGAAGGCTTGTTTCCTGGCCGTTGTCCACATCAATGGCTTTCTGATTTATTGTTATTTAAATTACATCATTTTTTTTAGTCAGTTTCATGACTTTGTACTCATGTCAGGCGGAGAGGGAATTGCAGCCTTGGATTGCCAAAGATGATGATCAAGGTCAGAAGATGTGGAGAATCAACCAGAGGATTGTAAAATTGATTGTGGAGTTGATGAGAATTCATGATAGCCCAGAGTCATTGGTAATTTTGTCAAGTGCCTCAGATCTACTTTTGCGTGCCACTGATGGGATGCTTGTTGATGGAGAAGCTTGCACCTTACCCCAACTAGAGGTATGATGTGACTGCATTAATGTTTGTGGCGTATGACTTCTGTTCACTAAGCCAAGACTTGAATATTAGCTTTAAATTTTATGTTTTTTTTTTTTTGGCCACTTAAGGAACACTGTCCATATCCGAACTGAAGGTTGATTTGACCACCAGGCAGTTCACATTGAGATCTTCCATACTTTCATTTCAAATAACCTTCCTAGACATAAGATTGCTGAAGGCTCAAGACTATAATGAGTGAAAAAAGCTTGATAATCTAAACTTGGCGAAGCTAAATCCCAAGAAATTGGGGTTGGCAAGTGAATTGCTTCCACTATTTAATCCCATCTAATCTCTTTTTCTTCTTTGAGGACCATGTCTTTGCTCAATTCTATCTGTTTCAATTTTGGGCAGTCCTCAACTCTTTAGGCTTCATGAACTAGAATGGAATCACTTTTTCATACCATGCAAATATGACATGACTGCATCATCTTGCAACTCTTTCACAATTTTTTGTCAAATGACACATGACTGGATCACCTTGCAACTCTTTCACAGTTTAGCGTCACTTGGTGCTAATTTGCTTCCACATTTGTTTTTTCCAGTACCTTCATGCCTTATCCTGTCTTCCATAATATAGTTACTCATCCATTTTAGATCCTCATTTACACTTTATTTATCTAATGCTTTTAGCGTTCTTTCTTTCTTTTTGGTCATACACTTTTTCTGTGTAGCATAGAGTGAGTACTTATCAGTTATCAATTTAACCTTCAATGTATTAAAGCATCAACCTCTATATAAATGGGCAGCTACTGGAAGCAACAGCTAGAGCAATTCAGCCTGTGCTCGAGTGGGGAGAATCTGGGCTGGCAGTCGCAGATGGCCTTTCGAACCTGTTAAAGGTAAAATAGCCAGCTGATTCATACAATCACTTGGTATGATCCTAAGAAATTTGAGAACAAATAGACGCAGTGTTGCAAGAAAAAAAATTAGGAAAGAAAGAAAGAAAGAACGAAAGAAGTGCTTATTTCATTATAATGTTTATGCAAAACCATTAGTTATGTGATCTATTTGCTCCAATTCATGCAGTGTCGTCTGCCAGCTACCATCCGATGCCTTTCTCATCCGAGTGCACATGTTCGTGCTCTGAGCACATCAGTTCTTCGTGATATTTTGCAAACCAGTTCAATTAGACCTAACCCTAATCCGGTGGAAATAAATGGTATTCATGGTCCTTCCTACAAGTATTTTAACTTAGATGTGATTGACTGGCAAGCTGATGTGGAAAAGTGCTTGACATGGGAAGCTCATAGCCGACTTGCGACTGGAATGCCTATAAAATTTCTTGATACTGCCGCCAAAGAATTGGGTTGTAGTATTTCCTTATGAAATCGATTAGCTTCAGGTGTATAATTTTTTTTTCTTTTTCATGTGAGACTTGTCTTACACAATAGATACTTGCATCTTTATTGCCTTGAAAGATGAGTTTGCAGGTTAATAGATATTCATTTGTTCTTCTGGGTCCAAGGTGTCAGTCATACTGTCAAAATTTTCTTTTCTGACCAGACATGGCAGTCCCTCATGGAAGGAGATTTGTGTAAATGATAATTATGGTTTAATTGTCACCCTAGTCATCCTAATTTGGATCTTAAACCAGTCTTCTCATGCATTGATTTTGTTTCCTCTAATTCACTAATAAATTATGCACTTGAGACTTGAGCACGTATTCAAAAGTCCAATGGCGTGGACAGCAAACCAGTTGAAATGCTTTATGTTCATTTTATCAGTCTCTTCTTTGTCCTCCATCTGTTTTCTTAATATTTTCCCCGACATTTAACGCATTAGATCTCATATTTCATAGTTCTTATTCCACCTTACCTAATACCCTAGGATGGAAGGCTGCCCTTCATTGAAAAATACCATAATATATTTTCGCAAATAAGCTCGAAGTACATCATTCATGAGACTTCGAAATGTAGATGGTGCATTAAAGAGGGTAAAGGGCATCACCAAGAACTCAAAATGGCCATTACGAGTCCCCTTCACGTATATAATCAAGATGCATACGAATGCCTCAACGTCGACCTAAGATCTAATTTCAAAGAAAAAATGATGCACCATGTAATTCATCTACCAACTTTCATTGTGCTAGCATTGAGAGCCCTATTGTCGATGCATATTCGCATGTATTGTCCTTTTTCTTCACAAGGAAGACTGGTGATGATAATGGACTGGAGGGAGAAGGGGAAGGGAGCCATGGTGCTGGTTCTAACTTCTAAGGAAAGAAAGGTTTAGTTGATTCTCACAATAATTCTTTTTTATTTTATTTAAACATAAGTGATGTAATGGACTTTCTTATTGCTTGGAATAAGGCTCGAGGTGGAATGCGATTGTATCAATACCCACCCCCTCTTCAGTCTCCTGTTTTATTGTAAACTGAGTAAAAGGTTTTTGCTTGTATAGATCTTACAGGTACTGTGTACACAAATTATGAGGACTTTGGATAACGATCTTGGAGTTGCTCGCCGAACCTGTCAATTCCAATGGTACTCTTTTTATTGCACTTCTTAGACAAGTGAAGATGATTTTTTTACCCTTTCGATTCGACTCTTTCTTATTATTAGTGTTGTGAGACCTGAGCATTTATTCATGCATTCGATCTTATAATGTTATGGTTATCCAGAGTAGTTGCTTGCTTGATGACAATGATAATGACTGCACTCGAGTAGTTAAGAAAAGTCTGTCATATCAGAAAAAAAACTTGTATGAAACGGGGATAACATTGTTTTACTATAACTGACGAATCACGCTATGCCAAGTGGAATCCCTGACCAATCACACTATGCCAAATGAAAAAATTATCACGCGTGACATAGCGTGATTGATAAGGAATAGCAAAACAGTGCTATTCCCGTTGCACACAAGTGTTTCTCCTGTCATAAATAAACATTTTTCATGACCATTTTGCCCCATTAACAATTTAGAATTACAATATATTATTAAATGCATTCTTTTCTTATTTAATTTAATATGGGTATAATTGAAAATTTATACAAACTTTGTTTTCCATTCTTGCTCAAAACAAATATGGGAAAGGAAATAAAGTGATATCTCCCGGTTACTTTCCTAGCATTACCAAACGTGGGAAAATAATCTTCCATTTCTCATCCCTTGGGAAATGACATGGGAAATAATTTCCTTTCAAATTCGTTCCGTGAACCAAATGGGGCCTCGGTGTTTTGCATCCCAAAATTTCTTATTTTCTCCTTGAAGGCTTTGGGAAATTTAAACACTACAGATCTGGGCCGTCATCTGACCAAGCCGATTGACTGATTGGTAAGAAATAATTGGGCTTACATTTTTGGAAAAAGTACAGTAAACCCCCCAATCTATAGGGTCACTTACGAGTTCATACCCGATTTTGGGGACATTTACGAGTACATACACAACGTCACGGAAAACCTACAGATTGCCCCCTCCGTTAGCGAGATCGTCAGAAAATCCGTTATCTGCCTACGTGGCATTTGTGGGACCTATTTTTAATTGACGTGGAGTTCCACGTGGAGAAAAAATAATAAAACAAATTATTTTTTTAATTATTTTAAAAAAGTAAACATATTAAATTATTATTATTATTTTTAAAAAAAAACCCTAACCAGATTCTCTCTCTCTCTCCCGATCTCCTCTCCTCCTAGCCCACAGCCACCCAAACCACCACCCAAGCTTACTCAGGCCACCCATCCCAGCCTTGACACCTCTCTTGTTCCAGCCCAACCCATCACCTCCCTCATGCCACAGATCTGATCGTTTTCCCCAAACCACAAACCCCAAAACGATGTCGTGGCCGTCGCCGTCCCCAAACCATAGCTGAGTTCAACTTCAAATTTCACATCCCAAATTTCGATCAGCCTCCCGGCGTCGAGGCCGGTCAAATTTCACATCCCAAACGTCAGTGCCTATGAAATAGAAAATGCTTGGCTGAGAAAAATATCAGAATCCGAATTCGTTCAGTATAATTCAAGGAATGGACTTCCCTCCCCAGCAACTTAGGCTGGTTGCAGAAAACGACTTGTCGTTTGCGATTACCGATGTTCAGTCAATCAACTGGGCAAGCGACGAGGACGAAGAAGCAGCAGAGGAAGGAGGAGTTGGTAATGGCGGTGATATCTCGTGATCATCTGGGCACATCAGATGAGGCCTGAGCTTGTTCTTCCACATCTCCCTGTAAGGTCCAGCGTCGCCACCTGTCCTCCTAGCCTCCACCACCACGAGATTCTCAGTCAATCTGTAAACCTCGACCCCAATTGCCAAATTACCATTCTGCTCCTCCATCTCCAAACCCCACGCCTTCTTCCTCTTCACCCTCAATTTCTCGGCCTTCGTGAACGCCTCCTCTCTCTCCACCACCTTCTCCACCGTCTCCTCCAACATGAAACATTCGCCGTCCTCCACTGAGCCGTACGAAACAGCCCGGCCGAGAACAATTTCAAATCGAACACGTTCAAACAGAACTGGGTTGCGATGGCTCGGAGGGTGGGTTAGAGGTTGGGCTGGAAGGGAGGGGATGGAATGGGGCTGTTTGCGTCTTTTTACCTTTTTCTATTTTTTTTTTCATTTTTAAAGATTTTAACATTATTGAAAAATTATTTTTAACATGTATATAATTTTTTATTATTTATTTGTCCACCTGTGAGTCCACGTCAATTAAAAAATGGATCCCATAAATGCCACATAGGCAGGTAACGGATTTTCTGTAGGTTTTTCGTGACGTTATGTATGTACTCGTAAATGTCCCCAAAATCGGGTATGAACTCGTAAGTGACCCTATAGGTTGGAGGGTTTACTGTATTTTTTCCTAAATTTTTAGTTGTTGGGGCCTTTCCCAACTGAAGTACTCAGAGTTGCACTTAGGGTTCTATAGATATTTTTTGTTCTGCGGTTACAAGACATCTTTTGGTCAAATGCAAAATTGGTTAGATAGAGTTGCATGTTTTAAATAAAATAAAGCTGCGTTCGGTCTCCCGCTTATCCGTCCATGTACTCCAAATGAGGCATTGGAAGAAAAAGAATAATCTAGGAATCAATTTGTTGTGCAGCCAACACCAGGAAAATAGATGTTATTTTCCTGAAGCCCAGAGAGACATTGTAAGGCAGACAAATTTTGGCAAATGCAAAAGCTGAAAAAAAAAAAAAATTACTATTATGATGATGTAAACAAAAAATGGAAGTTTTGTGGAATTTTCCCCTATCTTTGATGAATCCACTCCCCAAAAGGGACTGAATACCTGATAACAAATAGAAATTACAATGAGGATAAATAATTTGAAGAAATGTCGATTTTTCTAGCCTCAAATGATTTAAGAATTTCCTGAAATCAGCCATTTTTACTTGACCTGAATGAATTTAAACTTTTCCATCATGTTCGGTAGATTCAGGAAAACCAGTGTGTTTTTGCTGCCTGATTGTAGGCAGAGCGTGGCTCCAGCGCTCCTTTCCACCGGGCTTAGATGAGGCATTTCCATACCAAATCATCCCAACAACAGCTATGATCATTCCCAAAACAACATGCAGATTCAGACCCTCCTTTCCAAAGAAAAAGAACCCCATGATCAAAACAAGAATTGTCTTCATATGTCCAAGTACTTGGAAGGACACAGCAGTAAATCTTCCAATACAGATGAACTGGCTGAGATTGGTGCCTACTGCGATTGTGCATGAAAGAAATATAAACACCTGCAGACACAAAAGTGCAGCGAGAATTGTGAATGACCTTTCTGTTAAATCAAAAGATCATAAAACTAGAAGTGCAAGGAAGAAGTTATTAGTTTGGAATTGGATAGATGCCACATTAAAATAATACCCTGTTGAATAATATGTTAAGATGAAAGTAGCAAAACTTTATTACAAATAAGTTACTCCAACGGAGACAAACAAAATTAGGTTGCAGCAGCAGTTCATCTATATTAACCTTAGAACATTTAGATCATTAACATGACAATGCCGTTCTTGTATGATAAGGACTTAATTTTATTGGTGTTCATGCACATATGTCGCTAGCATGACTAGATAATCACATCATTAACAACATTACGATGTAAAAGTCTAAACGTATATTCCTAATGATGCTTGCAATCCTTAGGTCGAGTCTTGACACAATCAGCTTAAGATGATTATGGTAATCACAACACATAAATAAATAGGGTTATACTTACCAGAGATGTAAGGTTATAGTCATAGGCATCAACTCTCTTACTTGTCAACCAATAGTCGAGGAAGGGGCCCAGTAACAGAAGAGATCCAGCCTGAGCCGGAGCAGTATGTCCCAACAGACTGAAAGAACCAAGTGAATATTTCCGTTGAAGAAAGTGCACATACTGCAATTAAAGATTTGACATGACTTTTAGATAAGACATTATCAACAATTTCAGAAGAGTTTGACAAAATTGCAGACATGAGGCAATCCATTGATGAATTTTACTATTTTATTTTATTTGTATCTGACATGGATTGGTCCAGAGCAACAATTGCCAACCATGATAACATAAAATATTGACAATGACTCTGCCCTTTTCAGGAGTTTCATTCAATACCAAGCCATTTCAGCTGAAAAATGAAACATTTATATCACAACAGATCTCTATCTGTCTGTCTATCTCTCTAGACATGAATGCATGATGTGTTGGGGAATGGAGAACTTACATACTGTTGTAGCGAAGTGCTCCATACAGCAATAAAGGCAGCAATGAAGCCTTTGGCATTGACACTCACATCAGTGACAGTGCAAACACCAACTCCCAAGAGAACAACTCCTATGCTCAACTTTGTGTCTCTTGAGTAACGAATCTTGTCAAGAACAACTTCCAGTAAACATGATACAGGGATCATACTCAGCTTTGCGATCTGCCAATTACATCAGAGAAAATGTAACCCCCAAAAAAATTGCAGGGTTCAGTAGCTAAATCCAAAGTATATCAAACCCCTAGCTATACCTGATAGAATCCCACTGAGTTCCACATTAGACTAACGTTCATTCCAACAATAGAGAAGTTAGCAAAGATCATAAATTTCAGAAGCTCTGAGAGAGGTAGATGAGAAGGTTGAATGTATCCCAGCCACCTTAGAACAACCGTCATCAAAGTTGTCGTAGCAAAATGCAAACCAGTTAATGTTGTAGCTGCAAATTGTTGCAATTATTTAGAACTTAAAAAAACCAAATGATAAATAGCATGCGTTATGGCTATATAAATATTCTGGATGCATATTTTCCTACAAACAAGTAAACACAAAAACAACCAATTGATAAGCAGCAAGGTCAAGGCTATTGAAGCTTTCCCTTCAACCATCATGATCTGAAGGTTAGCACTGAAAGTTATATCTAGCTACAGATTGCAAGTTATATTTAGATGTCATATCTATTTTGTCTAGCAACCCCAAATCCATCACAACTCATAACAGAACTATACTGTTACCTCTTACAAAAGAAAATCAAATAGTGCAGTCTTTATCTCTCTTGCATTTAACGTTTGCTATGTTTTCCTTTTCTAGTCTTACCATTCAACCGGTATTGCTCCCCAGTATTCTATCTACCTCTTGGTCATAAGCAACGCTCTGTTATCATGAGTGATTACTGTTGACTGATCACTTTGTTCTCAAAAGGTTAACTCATTAATTTAAAATGAATGCATTGATGACATGGTACTGAGAAAACATGCATCTTTTTCAACAAAACCAGAAGTAACAAGACTTTTTTGTATATTTTGTTAGTTTTCCCCTGAAATTAGGATATACAAAAGTTTCATCTTAGTGATTTCTAGTTAAAAATTGGGGATTGTATACCAAATGTATGTGAGGTGCAGGATTCATTGTATTCTATTCCTGCCACCTGCTAATGCGACGGAACAAAAAAGCCATGATATCATCTCTCTCTTCTAATCTAAAAGCATCATAATTTGAGCTCCAATAGGGATGCAAGAAAGGTCTTTAATCCCATGGGGTTATATTTTATCTGAAAACATATCAGAAACACCCTAACTCAAATCTTAATCAACGAAAGCAAAACCGGAATTAACAAGACTTTTTTGTATATTTTTTAAGTTCCCCCTCAAATTATATACCTTTCATCTTAGTGATTTCTAGTTAAAAATTGAGGATTGTAGACCATACGTATGTGAGGTGCAGGATTCATTGTATTCTATTCCTGCCACCTACTAACGCGACGAGAAAAAAGCCATGATAACATCTTTGTCCTTTAATCTAGAACCATCATTATTTGAAGTCCATATGGAGGAATGCCCCATACCTTTTCTTACTAATTTTTAAAAAGTTTGCAAAAGAGATGCAAGAAAGGTCTTTAATCCCATGGGGTTATATTTTATCTAAACTCATATCAGAAACACCGTAACTCAAATCTGAATCAATGAAAGCAAAATGGCACACCTCATGAAAGAGTCAACAGGAATTATTTTTAAAAAACACTTTTTGGCTATAAAAAAAAATTCTGTTTAATAACTCAACACAAAAGTATACAACCACACAGGGAGGTGGGCAAATGCAGCATAAATTGATGATCCCAACTGAACTGAAGCCAAAACAATAAAAAAGAAGAAGCAGGATTTACCAAAACTGAAGCCATATGTTGCCATTAGAGCTTTATTGACAAGTATGATCCCAACAGATGTTACAACATTGAACATCCATGCGGCTGCATCTGCCGCCTTCTTATCAGCTTTGCTTGTGGGAGCCATTTGTTATATATTTCTATCAACTGGCCACTGTAGAGAGCCTTTACCCCTCAGCCTCCAAAAAGGCATCCATTTACATTCAGATGAAGCCGGAAGTTTCCGCTTTAGGAACAAAATACTCTAAAAAGACACAACTGAAACTAATAAGAAATCTGAAATTCTGCAATAAATTAAGACTGTTGAAATTCCAAGTATAATTCAAAACATTGGTGCCAGTAAAAATAATAATAACAAAAAAAATAAAAACCATAGTTCAATTATAGACATATTTTCTTATAACAAAAATTATAGACATATTTTTATTTTTCATAAACAACTAAGATAAAAGTCAACATCTTGCTCGTACAGAAACTCCAAAACTGATCAAACGAGCTTCAGACAAAACTACCAAAGAATAGAAAAGAATAAAGAAAACTATCAAATTATAAAGAGTCGATCTGAATTAGCTAATATTGTTTCCCATCTTTATAAAAATAATTAAAATTGAAGACATGTGCACATAAAGATTAGGAGTCAGCAATTCAAATCACATACTGCTCCCTCCTTGAGCTCAACGTTACGGAGCAGTTAAGCCAATGAATGAAAAACAGAGATGGGTCTTCCTGCTTTGGTGCCCGGATTATATAATAAAAGCAAATTCTCTAGTGCATCAACATTTTGCCATTTCCTTCTCAGTTTGTGCAAACTGCTAGTGAGAGTGAGAGAGAGAGAGAGAGATATATATATATATATATATTCTAAACAGTTTTGACCCACAATTCACTGAATTATGGAACTACCAAAACCCAGCTGGCCATTTCAAAGGAGCAATTTATTTTTTCACAAAGATCAATACAGAAAAAGAAATTGTTAATCAATGACAGACAGACCTACTAGCATTCCAGATCAACCACAAACAAAAAAAATTGATCAAATTCAAAGCAGGATCTAACCCACAATCAGATCCCAAAAACCCACCAACAAAATGAGCCCAATTGAGCAGATCTGGTTACAAAAGTCATCCACTTATACGGATCACAGTGACAACTGAACCAGAATCACACATCCAAAAGCAAGTGAGCAATGGTTCTGAAACAGAAACGTACCGAAGAAACGAACAGAGAGAGTGAGAGGGAACGAGAGAGAGAGAAAGAGAGAGAGAGATTCTAGGCTGGGACCTCTGGAATTGCAAATGTTGGGGTTTGATTGGAGAGAGCGATGCGTTTTGATGTGTGTTTGTGATTGGTGCATACGGTTATGGGCTTCGTTCGTTTTTGGGAACCAATTGAGTCCTTCAGCAGATTTGGAGAGAAGGAAAGAGTGAGTCTGTTGGGCAACGAAGAGCTCGTGGAGGGGGTAATGTTGCCGCCAGCTAACTGGAACACCAATGTTATGTTATGCTTGCTTATGCAAATTACGATTGTGTATCACTTGCTTACCCTTGGCTTACAAAATTTCTAATTCAATTCAATTTTTCCCTTTTTTAGAAAAGAAAAAATATTTACTAATTTACTTGTTAGCATATTATGTTATGAGTGCTATGATTTAAGGTTAAGATAAGATTTTGATTGTTTTGCCCGCTTAGCCAAGGAGCTATCCTTCGATTAGGGATGGGCACGATCCGGTTCTTACCTCAAACTAAAATCGAAATCAGTAGTACTATTTAATGGGTCTGATCCTATTGAAAGATAATGTAGCGGAAACACTTAAATAGATAAACTCCTTAGAAAACTAAGGGTTGTAGAGAAATCCTATCTAGAAGGACCTTGAAACTCAAGGAGGAATTAAAAAATAAAAATAGATATCAAAACTCTTTGGAATTTGACATTCAAAATGTGTTAATCTGAGTGTGCCTCTCAAGGCTACAAACACACACATATAGGACTATCTACTAGATGCATTCAATAACGAGAGTACATGATGCATGCATGAATGAAAATACATTATGTATGAGTATGATGCATTAATAGTAGATACATGAACATGCATGAACCTACTGTGCTAAATCAGGTTCACCCCATCCGAGATAGTGGCGGTTTCAG